CAAATTAAGCTAAAGTTCCAGAAATACAAGAAAAATTATTCCAAAGGAAAAGAAGATAAAAGAAAGCAGAAAAGTGAAAGAGAGAGAAAATAAGCTAGAATGTTCATACCTTTAAGGCAGTAGATATTGGACAGATGGATAAAAACCAAGATGGATGAATCTGTTGAAATAGGAAATTTGCAAGAGAGTCAGTGAGGGCAGTGTGCCCGTGAATTGAGCTAATGATGTGCTTTTAAGTAAAAAAATTGGATTATATTTAGAGTGAGAGAGTGCTGTCCTCGTCTGTCGTTTGTTCCAGAATGGAGGCAGGATTGGGCTGCACGTGGGTCATATGATGGACCTCTTTAACATTTCCAAGATAATTGATTGTTACAAGGATTCTGATCCCTAACTCTAATTACCACTATATTTTCAAGATACCCATTTTTTCTAACTTATAATTAAAAAAATTATTGCTTTAAATAGGAAATTTTTCATTGTTAGTCCTTAACCTATACACTTTGTCGCACGTTTGTCCTTAATGTATGTTTCTTGGCAGTATGGTTCTCAACTATCTATTTTAGAGTGTCTTTGGTCCTTAGTTAATGGCTCCATCCATTTAACAATTAAAAAGTTAATTTTTATTTAAAAAACATTTACACCCCTATTTTTGAAGATTGATTAGTTAAAAAAAAAAAAAAAAGGAAATAAACCCAAGAAAAATGTTGATATTTTTTTTTTCATTATTTATTTTAACAGAATAAAAGTTAAAATAGTCTTTTTGGTTGAATTTTTGACCTTTTTAACAGTCAAATAGGACCAGTGTTGAGAACCAAATTTTATAGATGATTTGATCAATTAGAATTGCAGATGCTGCACATAGTTGATTGCCGTGGAAAAGAGAGCACTCAATAAATATTACAGTGTCACAAATACTTGCAAAATCCCTTTCCAACCCAACATTGTATGAAATTCTACCCAAGAACTCAAGAATGCTCGAGGCTTGGCTCCAAATATCCCCCGAAATTCATCAAACATATAAATACGGTATTCATCGGAGCTAATTCTCTCCAGACTAACGTAAGTAAAACTGGTTGGTTATGCACAATTTTTATACTATGAAGGTGCAGAAGGGCAGATAATTCTTGATATGTGAATTGTGATGTTAATAAGAGAAGTTTTCATTGGATATACGAATTCCCTTTCGCGATACGCTGTCCATGTATTCTGAGACTGAATTTCATCATCAAGATGGAATACTTTATAGCATTTTACTATGTTCAGGTTGTTGAGAGGGTACGAAGGAAATCGAGTCTTGGTAGATTGTGGGGGAGGATATTGGAGCTATTTACATGACTATGTGTCCGTACAACATAAAATTTTCATGCTGGGCGTGAGGAGCTTTGTACAGTTTGCCGTTCCTGCTGTTGTTTCTGATTTGATTTTCATGCTCTAAATCTGAAATTTTGATTCCTGTTTACCCATTTCTTGAAAAGTTTTGTTTTTGATGGTGCTCTGAATTACATGATGGGAGAGCATTGCATTTATATTTTATAGGCTCTTACTATTGAGAATGAGTCTAGAGTGAAGGTGTCAAATAGGACAACTAGTTTGATTCATCTAACATTATCTTGTCATTTGTGGGAACAAAATTATAAAAAATTAATATCTCAAATAACAAGATGTCATATAGAATGGATAATTGCCGACTATGAATAGCATTGCTCAACTCAAATGCATTAAATCAAAAAAATTCTAGAATACTTCGAAGCCAGGGTGCAGTTTGCAGACCAGAGTGAAACGATTTTACCAATTAACTTGAGGATTTTTGGGGATACACAACACACGCAGTCCAATTCTTGACATTCACATTGCGTAGGATGCAATTCTATAGTAATGAGTTCTGAGTTAAGATTTTGGTTTTATACCAGTTTCGAGCTCAGAGTTGAGCTTGAATTCATATTAAAAGTATTTCTATTTTTAACCATACTGATATATATATGCCTTCTTGACATCAAATTTAGAACAAGTTCATAAGGTGATGCATGTGACCTATTTACAAGTAATCTCATAACACAACCTGAATATCTTATTAAATCCATGAGAAAAAATTATGATTCTCACATACGCAGACTACGGATACGTCAACAAATTTGGGATCACCTAAACAACATATTAAGAGCTTACAATCAACTCATGAAAGTAAAAAAACCTTATTTGAGAAAAACCACAAAAGTAAAGCCCCCCACCACCGAAAAAAGAAAAGATAAGATAAGAAGAACAGAAAAGTGAACTCCACCTTGCACTTGTTGGCTGGTGCTAACTTCCTTCACCAAATTCCTTTTGGATGTCCTTGAATGATATTGTAGCAGATCCTCTCGCTTTAGCTTTCTGTTGAGAAGGATGTTCCCTCCATCCAGTCATGTATATAACCTTAACACACATAGACAAATATTACGCCTAAGAAAACAAAAATTATTAAATTTGACACTAAATGATGCAATTTGGAGGTGGGTAGCAACAAGTTGTTGTATGTATGCAAGAAAGCATTTTCCATAAATTCTCTGTCGATCAAAAGGTAAAATTTAGTGCGGCGGACTGTTGAGTGACCTGAAATGTTGCTGGGATGGTTCCATCTTCTGCTGCAAACATGGACTCATAAACGGCAGCAGTTGCCAGGGCTGTATCTCTCTTCAAAAACTGACCCATTTCAGATCAAGTATTTGAGTGAATGAGGAACAGAAATACTGAATTCAGTTGAAAAACAAAAAACTGGATGCTTTTATAACTTGGAAATAGCAATAAAATTGTTGACTCTAACTATGAACAAGGTTGAAAGGCATCTTACTTTGCTGCTTTGTAATAGAGCATTAGTTTCACCCATTGCACGAAGATGCTCTATCAGCTCCAGAGCTAACTTAGATAAAAGAGAAAAAAGGCCATTTTAGGTAACCAAAAAAAAAAGAAAAAAGCATTTCAACTCATTGAGAAATTCGATTCTGGTGTGCTTGACTTCCTTTTCAGTCTTCAAATCAACCATTCTAATAAATTCTGCTTATTCAAACAAGGTTGGGAGTATATATGGATCAAGCTACAAAACCAAATAGGCATGATAATGCGATGATTTAAGCACGTCAACTTTAAGCAATAAGGCATACCACGTACCACTATCATATCTCACAGTGTATTCATCCATGTCAACTCCAGGAAGAGTGAAGCCTGCCCTAGTCAATAGGTTGCCTGCATCACGTACCTACAAGGCCAATTAAAGTGTCTCCTAAAAACTCCCTTAAGCATGTACAAGATTTTACTTGAGGAAATTTCAGAATCAAAGAGATAATAATTAAGATTGTTACAAAACAATTGTATATATCAACATATCATGTCATTAAGATTTGACGTGAAAAAGGGTATGACACATCAAATGTATTACTAATTAAAGACACCAAGAGTCGTACTATCCTAACCAGATATTCAGCTGCCCAGCATACCATATTGCGGTGATTATTATCAAGGTATATCAACTACTAATTAAAATAAACAAGAGACACATAGTGCTAACCAAATATTTAGCTGCCCAGTATACCATATTCCAGCAATTAACAATATATAAAAATTTTGTACATTAGTAACTACTGCACTAGCATCCATGATGCTCGGACTAATGTACGGGTATCGGGTAGGGTCCGTATCTAAATGTCGGATATTTATTTTTTAGAATATAAGATATGAGGATATGGCTAAAAAGAGTCCAAATATTGGACACAAATACGTTTTTTAAACTTAAATTTTTTTTCTCAAAATTTCACGTATAAAAAGTTAATTGATAATTAAGTGACAATTTCTTAGGAGATAGTATGAACTCTAAAAAAATTAATAAGCACACCCAACAGCCCAACAAACAAGCCCACAACACAACTAAAAGAAAATGGCCAAGCAAATACTCACAGCCCATTAGCCCGATGCCTAAATATAAACTCACGATACTTCAGTTACTTATAGCCCAATTTCACACACCCAAAACTCACGATTCCAAATCACTTGACAATCGAAGCTGCCCAATCGCCAGTAGTGCACTCGTCGAAAGCAAGAACAGAGATCGTCTGCCACCCAAGAACATAGCCAATGAAATAGCCGACAGCAACTGATTTGTCCGACCAGATTTCGTAAACAGATTGCTAGCAGCCCACAAAATTTCTCACCTACCAAAATCGCCGGTAACCCAAATTTCAATGTATTCCTACCATTCTCCTCATTCCTATCTCGTTTTTATGCCCAAAATTCATTCCTAGTTTGCCATTTCACCGTGAAATTTGCCGTGTCCGCCCCATATTTCATACCCATACCTAGTCGTGTCGACAAGGGTACGGGCTGGAATCAAGAGTCCAAGCATCACAGATTAGCATCTTCAGCTAGGATCCAGAGGATTAGTTGTTTAATTCAAAAGAACTTGGTTGTGATAATGGTATCGAAAATAAAAAACACACCAAAAAACTAACCTCCAAATAGATAGTGCCTTGAAATGGTACAGATAATGGATGGTAAAGGGTATTGACTGTTCCAGTCTCAATCTTTGAATTATGATCAAAACCACTCTCTAAAGAAAAAAGTTGTTTGAAGATTATCAGAGAGGTTATTTAAGTTTGAAGATGGCTGTAAATCGTATAATTTGATCAAGATCTATCATGCTAAAGTAAAAAACATGGCACCTTTCTCATGCTGTTGCTTCTCAAATATGTATTGGACCGCTTTTAACAGATTGACAATGACCAAATATTATTTAATCGTTCAGGAAATTAAGGTTCATGGCACACAACATGGTTTAAGAAGATACTTGTGCAAGGGGTGACAACCGTGGACTGATGCCCCCTTCACGCTCCATTTGTGCTACAGTGCATGCTATTCTCAGCTCCCTGGATAACAGGAGGATATTTTGAAACAATTATGCCTTTCATTCAGTTATAAGAACTGTAAAAGCTTCACAAAAATATGAAGATACAACTTTAATGTTTCTCCACCGAAAATAGCAGCCAAAAATAGGCCATCAGGCTTCAAAGCCAATCTACTCTGCCATTGAAAAAGAAAATTATGTAAGAATAATTAATGATTATCAATGACTAAACGTTTCATTTTGCAAAATTGCAGACAGAACTAAATCCAGAAAGAGATATAACAAAGAGAAAGTAGAAGGCGTTGCAAGCTAGAAATGATCTCAAGTTTGTAACACCAGATGGAGAAGCAAAAACCTGTATCATGGCTCCAGGAAGATCATTTGTCCAATGAAGTCCCAAGCTACTAATAACCAGATCCAAAGAACTAGATATCCACAGCACATATTTTAAATGAATAACTTTTTATCCTAAAATACATCTTACAAATCTACTACATAAAGGATTCCACTTCACCAGTACAAGTATCAATCTTACAGAAAATTACCATTCGTTTACAGGTAAAAACTCTTCATCGGCAACAATGAATGATGTTTCAACATTTTTGTTTGGCAAATCCTGTTCAGATTCTTTACATAACTTCACCATGTCATATGAAGCATCCATCATTATTAGCTTTTCAATGCCACCTGACAAGGAAGAAGAAACGACATTGATAATAAATGGAGCATTTTCTAATTAGAAAACAAGTTTACAATCTCTAAGATATAGGGTGCATAGGAACAAAACTACTACCCTCCTAGTTAGAGTAGGGTTAACTTATCAATTCAATTCAAACTTTTACTTAAAACTGTTGAAAAATTATTTATTCTTAAGAGAATCTTTTGTCATGGACTACAAGTTCCATTTACTTTATGAACTTGAAAGTAAATGAATACTTGTTCCTGAATCCACCTGCAGGGAGAATATAAAGCTAAATGCTAAAGCTTCCGATGAATAAAAAGGAAGCAATTTAATCATTCTATAAAGCTCCAATCATGAATTTTTACAGTTTAAACAAAATCATATCCACATTTACAGGTAAACTGATGACTACAAATGTGAATTCTCACCACGCCCACGTATAGAACGCATAATTGCTTCCAATGAACCCCCCATGCATAATGCTGTAGGAAATGTCCTTTTACAATCCTACAAACACAAAGGGGGAGAATGTTCAACTTAGAGAAGATGGAGTTCATTAGAACTCTCTGTGGAGAACTTTTTATGGCATGTAGAAAATAAGATTCAAGTATTATCATTCACAAGAATAAGAACTGTAGCAAACTAACTTCAAATCGTATATCTATATTGTTTAGGAGTCATATGCCAGGGAAGGAGAAATTTTTCTAAAAATTCTATTGCTATTGCATGTGGACGATATCGCTTACCTTTTGTATACTGTTATTTTTAAATTACTAATAGGTAAAGTAAATAAGTTAGATTTCTATTTTCAATATTTTCTCTAACCTGCCATGTGATATGGAATGAATAGAGGATCTAACCTGCCACTTTAATATTAGTTTTTTGCACCCATCCAATAATCTGTTTCGGTGAGATATTTTCCACTAAAAGTCTTCTACTCATTGTTTTATCTTCTAATCATCTAAACATTCCTTCACTTGAAAATGCTACATATACACAGTTCACAAAACTTGAAATACGTGAATATATGGGCCCGTATAAGTGTAGGTATATCTATGTCTATGAAGTTCTTAACACTTAAATCTTGTCATTCTTTTTCCTAAAGGAGAACCAAGGTCTAAATTGATGAAAGTCTCATATAAAGAAAATGCCACACCAGCTACCAGCTATGATAATTGGCAACATCAATGCAGGTTACCGAGAAATTGGCAAATGCTAATTATCCATGGTGCAAAGTGTGTGTGTGGCACTGCGAATCAGATCCTGAAGGAAGAAATCACAATTTTTCAAAGATTATTCGGCCAAATAAGAGGTAAATAATTTCATGTAGAAAGGCAACATTCAACAGTTTCACTTAAATTAGATAGAGGAAATGCATGTGCAGGTAGATGCATGTGCTATATAGAGATGAATTCACCATACCAACTCTAATGCAGAAACATCTAGGTCAACGTATACAAGTATCTATTCCAGCACACGATTCTCGAATCACTCTATCAGCATACTAATCCAAGAATGTCTCGATGAATTAAACTTTTGTACAACTTATTTTGAAATATAAGATATAAAAATCTAACTAAACTATACACAATTCTACAGGCAGACAAGTACCTCCAAGCGATCTAGTAGATTTTCTGCCACCGTATCCAGCAAAGAATCATTTGGGCGCATCAACCACGCAGCTCTATCACGCTGTAAAAATGATTATTAAAAAAAAATTATCAAATTTAATCTTGAGCAAAAAATGGAAAATGCACGTGTGTGATATAAAGAAGCCAAACTTGTCTGCGTTTGAGATTCCGGTCAAAGATTTTTAATTTGGAGCTATTTTCCGTACAGTACAGTCTACTGCTCCACCATAGACGGCACAGGTTTCTCCGGCAAAGCTTGGCGCAAGCTCTCATTTCTCAATTTGGATGCAGTTCAGGAGATGGTGCGTGTTCGTTATGTGGGGTTTGAACTTTTGGGAATTTTTTATAATGGGCCGGTCGGAAGGCCTTTAATTTTGAGATTCCGGTCAAAGATTTTTAATTTGGAGCTATTTTCCGTACAGTACAGTCTACTGCTCCACCATAGACGGCACAGGTTTCTCCGGCAAAGCTTGGCGCAAGCTCTCATTTCTCAATTTGGATGCAGTTCAGGAGATGGTGCGTGTTCGTTTATGTGGGTTTTGAACTTTTGGGAATTTTTTATAATGGGCCGGTCGGAAGGCCTTTAATCGCGTAGACGTGGTTATTCAGAAACTTTACGGAAATAGCCCTGATCTCACTAAAAAGGACTTCGTAAACTTTTCCTTTCATGATTTTGGTACGAAATTTTCGAGTTAATTATCCCAATAGTCACTGAATTTATAGAATTTATATCGTATCTTTGATTGCTCACTTAAATTTAAAATGTCAAGTTTCTATCACTAAATTTATTCTAATGTTGAATGTTATTCACTATTTAATATTCATTTCAAATCTTTAACAGAATTAGTAAAGTGGCTAACGGAATGCACATGTGACATCATGTCACATTGTTAACAAATTTTCACATATTAAATTACTTACTAAACTTTAAAAAATATTTTAAATTGCTCGCTTAACTTTAAAAACGTTTTCGATTGCTCATTGAATTTTGATGTAGTGGAACTTTGGCCACTGAAATTATAAAATGACGTGGGGTGGTTGTTCATTAAAAATGTGTATCGCAATCGCAAGAGTTGCATAAAAATAATAAAGTGGACAAATGAGTTTGAGTTGTCGATCCCAAGAGAGATAATCACTCAATTACATAATAGTTAAATTAAACATACTTTTTGTAAAATCTTAAGCTATTTTTATTATTTAAAAAATTCAAATTTATTTTGTATTTCGTTGTTAAAATTAAATTAAATCAAAACTTGAATTTTACAACGAAACACACAATAAATTTAATTAAATAGATTTTACAACGAAACACACAATAAATTTTATTAAAATGCACATAATGCCCAATTTTAAGTAAATTTATTGTGTGTTTTATTGCAAAATTCAAGTTTTAATTTAATTTTAATTACAAAATACACAATAAATTTAAAAAATTTCAAATAATAAAAATAGCTTAAAACTCTGCAAACATATATTAAAATTAATTTTAACTATTATGTTATTGAGTAATTATTTATTGTGAGATTGGCAATGTGAACTCGTTTGCCCATTTCATTACTTTTACGCCACTGGTACGATTGTGGTATATATTTTTAAAGAACAACATACTTATAAGTTTAGTGGCGACAATTCGACCACCTCAAAATTTAGTGAGTAACTGAAGACCCTTTTCAAAATTTAATGAGTAACTGAAGGCGTTTTTGAAAGTTTGGTGAGCAATCGAAGACCTAATAATTTGTTAGCTACGTGATGAGATGCCATATGTGTATTCCGTTCACCACGTAACTAATTCAATTAAAATTTGGGAATGGATGTTAAGGTAATGAGTAACGTTTAACATTTGAATAAGTTTAGTGGCCAATATTTGACATCTTAAATTTTAATAAGCAATAAAAAATATAGACATAAGTTCAGTGACCATTGGAACAATTGACTTGAAAATTTCACATCCCTAAACTGTTATTCTCCTCATGCTAAAGGTCAGCAATTCTTTCTCTCTTCTATATGATTGTTTATACTTGCTGATTTTTATTTTTAAAAAAAATGTAAAACGCTATATTTAAAATAGAAAAGAAAAAAAAAAGTATAGAGTCAAATAAGAAGAATAAAAAAATAGAGCCCATCCAACCAACTTAGGGGACTTAGGCAAATATTTGGAGGGCCTTCAAAAAAAAATTAAAATTAAAAGAAAATAAGCGCTGTTTACCTAATTTATAAATAGTCAAACTTCATTTTTAACTAACATTTATATGGATTCACAAGTACTATCCAATTATGTGTAATTCATCTTTTTATGATAAATTCAACCTTTTCAACTAAAATATGATATCAGGACATAAAATGTGTCATTCAAAAGAAGTCAAACGCCTGATTTGGGGTTTGTGATTCACGAATTGGTAATTTGTGAACCTGTGATTTATTAAAATTTTAATAATGCTTTGTGAGGAACAATAATTTATTATATTCTACCTCTTGTAGTCATCCCTCTCTCCCTCTATCTTGTCTTTATTAAACAATCTTGCTATTGTAGTCATTGACGATTGACAATAAACGGCCACCCTAACTCAACAAAATTTCTAGATCCGCCACTGTAAGGCGCTCAACAAAATCAGATCCTTTTTCAACTCTATCATATGTCTAACATTACTTAAAGTCCTAAAAACGACATCTAACATTTTAACTCTAATAGTTTTTATTCCAACTACTCGACATGATGCATCATTAACCATAAGATTTGAGCCAGAATTAAGCAACATATAGGAAGCTCCCAAGGTGCAATAGGAAGAATGTGGATGATTTTTTTTAACTTTTGATTTTTAATTTTATATTTGTGATTAATTTGTAATTTTTTGAAAATTTTGAACTATTGTTGCAATTAATTCTTAATCCTTTCAATTTTTTTTTTATTTGAATATGAGGGTAAAATCGTCTTTTTATTGGAAAATGAATAAAAATGATATTCTGCGCAATGAAAGGTGGAATAAGGGTTAAAATGTCAAAAAATTAAAGGAGTAGACGTTTTGCACAGTGACATTGAAAGGTAGAAACGTTTATTTGTCCGCAGTGAAGCCTAGAAGGTTTTTATTTATTTATTTATTTTAAGAGATGGAAACACGAGGGCTTTTCTATTTTAATGCACCATTGCTTTTGTTTATCAAGATTTTAAACATATAGCATTCTTTTGCAGTTCCAATTTTCACCTGAGGAGGCTAAGTCACAGCGGTCATGTAGAAATAGATCACTGTTCTTTTTATGGCAATCAGACCACTGTAAGTTTACATAAGTTTTATCGGTTTGGTAATAGTAATTTGAATTATTTGTTTTATTACTTCAATGCTTCAGGATGTTCAGATTTTAGTCAAGTAACATTATTTGCTGGTAGAAATCCACAACAGCTGATCAAATTACCCTTACTTGTTTGATAGAAAAACTTATTTGAATCCCTCGCCCTGTGAATTCAGTTTGTTTTGCGTGTTTTTACAATGTCTGCATTTCTACTCAATGCCATTCTTCCCATAAAACTCAAAAATTTCCAAAATGGCAAATGTAGGGTTTCAAGGGCAGATAATTCTTGATATGTGAATTGTGATGTTAATAAGAGAAGTTTTCATTGGATATACGAATTCCCTTTCGCGATACGCTGTCCATGTATTCTGAGACTGAATTTCATCATCAAGATGGAATACTTTATAGCATTTTACTATGTTCAGGTTGTTGAGAGGGTACGAAGGAAATCGAGTCTTGGTAGATTGTGGGGGAGGATATTGGAGCTATTTACATGACTATGTGTCCGTACAACATAAAATTTTCATGCTGGGCGTGAGGAGCTTTGTACAGTTTGCCGTTCCTGCTGTTGTTTCTGATTTGATTTTCATGCTCTAAATCTGAAATTTTGATTCCTGTTTACCCATTTCTTGAAAAGTTTTGTTTTTGATGGTGCTCTGAATTACATGATGGGAGAGCATTGCATTTATATTTTATAGGCTCTTACTATTGAGAATGAGTCTAGAGTGAAGGTGTCAAATAGGACAACTAGTTTGATTCATCTAACATTATCTTGTCATTTGTGGGAACAAAATTATAAAAAATTAATATCTCAAATAACAAGATGTCATATAGAATGGATAATTGCCGACTATGAATAGCATTGCTCAACTCAAATGCATTAAATCAAAAAAATTCTAGAATACTTCGAAGCCAGGGTGCAGTTTGCAGACCAGAGTGAAACGATTTTACCAATTAACTTGAGGATTTTTGGGGATACACAACACACGCAGTCCAATTCTTGACATTCACATTGCGTAGGATGCAATTCTATAGTAATGAGTTCTGAGTTAAGATTTTGGTTTTATACCAGTTTCGAGCTCAGAGTTGAGCTTGAATTCATATTAAAAGTATTTCTATTTTTAACCATACTGATATATATATGCCTTCTTGACATCAAATTTAGAACAAGTTCATAAGGTGATGCATGTGACCTATTTACAGGTAATCTCATAACACAACATGAATATCTTATTAAATCCATAAGAAAAAATTATGATTCTGGTATATGCAAACTTCGAATACGTTAACAAATTTGGGATCACCTAAACAACATATTAAGAGCTTACAATCAACTCATGAAAGTAAAAAAACCTTATTTGAGAAAAACCACAAAAGTAAAGCCCCCCACCACCGAAAAAAGAAAAGATAAGATAAGAAGAACAGAAAAGTGAACTCCACCTTGCACTTGTTGGCTGGTGCTAACTTCCTTCACCAAATTCCTTTTGGATGTCCTTGAATGATATTGTAGCAGATCCTCTCGCTTTAGCTTTCTGTTGAGAAGGATGTTCCCTCCATCCAGTCATGTATATAACCTTAACACACATAGACAAATATTACGCCTAAGAAAACAAAAATTATTAAATTTGACACTAAATGATGCAATTTGGAGGTGGGTAGCAACAAGTTGTTGTATGTATGCAAGAAAGCATTTTCCATAAATTCTCTGTCGATCAAAAGGTAAAATTTAGTGCGGCGGACTGTTGAGTGACCTGAAATGTTGCTGGGATGGTTCCATCTTCTGCTGCAAACATGGACTCATAAACGGCAGCAGTTGCCAGGGCTGTATCTCTCTTCAAAAACTGACCCATTTCAGATCAAGTATTTGAGTGAATGAGGAACAGAAATACTGAATTCAGTTGAAAAACAAAAAACTGGATGCTTTTATAACTTGGAAATAGCAATAAAATTGTTGACTCTAACTATGAACAAGGTTGAAAGGCATCTTACTTTGCTGCTTTGTAATAGAGCATTAGTTTCACCCATTGCACGAAGATGCTCTATCAGC